GAATCATAGATATAAGATAAATGATAAATAAACATGAATCCTTCAAAAACCCACAAACATTCAAAGGTTTTAGCCAAGGCTAACCAAAATAGAGAGTTTAGCCACTCATGGAAATAGAATAACAATCACAAAAGTCTAATTGCATAAAGAAACTACCAATAACTTGAAAAGATGAAAAAAAATTAGTCTTAAGCTCCAAAATCGCCTTCTTTTGGTCTCCAATGGTGTAAAATCGAAGTGATAGCTGATAGATCCAATCCCCCAAGGTAATGGCAAGCCAAATGACCAAAATGCCCAAAACTGGGCAGTTGCGCGGGTACCCGTACGACGGAGATTCCACCTGCGCAAGTGCTGCTGGAATGTTATTGGCTCATTTTTCCTCCACTAATCATCCCACTACCAAAGATTCTCTTGGTCCCCTCCATATTCCACATGATTCAAATTAACCAATCATCTTTTAGCTTCAAATATGGATGCTCCAAGCCCAAAATAACAATCCATGATCCATCTTCACAACCCCACTTCATCCAAGTCTTTAGCCTTTTTAAGCCAAAATCTCCTTTAATGGATCCGCAAAGCCCAATAATGCCTCAGAAGTCCACAAAGTTCATTTCCAAGCTAATCCATAACCGCAACAAGATCCAAAACCCTGCAAAATACCTCTTGCAACATAAAAAGTCCCTGGTATGATCCATAATAAAGAAAATAAATAAAATACAATGCAATAATGATAAAAAGAGCTAAAATACTAAAATAAACCAATAAAAATAAGGAAATAAAATAAGCTATCAAATATACAAATAGAAGGTTTTCCCGCACGATGTATGGGATGGAAGGTATTCCTTTAGGGGTTGTTGAGGTTAATACCTCAAAAATCAAAATGATAACTTGTAAAACTTGTTATAATAAATGAAATAGTGTAATATATAAATATAAGGTTTTCCCGTACGATGTTCGGGATGGAAGGTATTCCTTTTACCCATATAGCAACTTACTTGCATTTATGGGTTGTCTATGTTAACGATTCTACTATTATCTTGGTGACCACTTTGCCTTTACTTCCTCTATTTTCATCCGAAAGCATAAGTCAATCCTATTACATGTGAAAAGAACCATTTTGCCATTGTCTTTTCCATTTCCTTCATCCCCTTGATATTCATCAAAATCCTTTTGTCATACCAAATTAGCAATCATCTTTCTAGAATGTAATACCAAAAGCAAATTTTGAACCATAAAAATGGTTCAGATCCATAGAAGCAATATGCAGATGCAGTTATAAAAGTGTTGCATACACAGTTGATTCTGGATGACAGTGAAGGGACAGTGTTGTATGCATAGGGTGGTAGGCAAATGGAAGTAGAATGTTATAAGTTTAGCAACTCACCTATCCATCATTCTTAGTCTAATTAACTCATCATAATATTGTTCATGTTCTTCATCAAAACTGCAACCCATTAAATGTTGTAAGTCACAATAATTAAACAAACACAATCAAAAAATTAAGATACCTATGTAGAACAAATGTGAGACTTGGTTACTATTCCTTGGCATCGTTCATTATTTAAATTATAATAAGAATGCAACATCATACTTTTCATGAGCTATATTTTTCATTATATGTCATGAAGATCAAGTTTTCATATTCCAACAAAGATTTGTCTTCGGAATTATGAAAATAAAATGCAACGACTCTAACAATAAAAATATGTGCAGTTACTTATATGCAGATTTATACGCCACTGCTTTATGGGCAGCTTTTAAAACACCATCAAACAGTGGGAACTTTATCACCACTTCAATCCCTTTCAGTTGTGGTCATGATTGACCATTAGAATGCAATTATGTATGACTTTACCTAACACTTAGTTGAATGTTTTAGGTTACATATATTCTTTCGGAGAAGAAAACCAAAAAGACATATATGTTCTTGCAAGCACGAGTGTTTATAGAGTGGCCCGCCCAAGTTGTTGCATTATAGGTGCTGAAAGGAAAATGCAGCAGAAGCTGTAACTCCTATCAGATCTCCACCTTCTTCAAGGGGTAATCATGTCATTAGCAAATCTATGGAGTTTGTGGTTAGTTACACTTTGATATTGTATTTTATATGAAACTGTAAATGAAAAGAGTATCAAGAATCATGTTTTTATATAATTAACATCATTTTATTCAAGTTGGTTGTGAAATTGAAATAGGTACTTAGCTTTTTATAACGAGTTAATTAAGAAATGAAAGGTATTTCCAGGTTTTTCATTCTTGTACAAGAACAATGAAATGTGATGTTTAATTTGTATGAGAATATGATTCATATATAATGAAAAATCTAGTATTTTTCTTTGTTCTATTTCTCTATATATTGGCTAAGGTGTCCTTTATTTTGATGACAAAGATAACCTTTAATTGAAATACTCACATAGTTCATTGTGGACATATCCTAAAGGATTATGGTGCAAGCAATAGGGTTATGTTTGATATGGTGGAATGGAATCACAAAGGAATGACATCAACATGTAGTGGAATGGATCATTACATTCCATTTCCATGTTCGGTCAACACAAAGGAATGGAATGAGTCATTCAAACATACTTTCTCATGTACAATAAAACTAAATAAAAATCAAATTGATAAATAACTATACTTTAAGTCACAAAGTAAGTAGAAATAAACTAATAACATATGTGTTCTCCTAATGGTATTTTTGGAATATGGTTGCTTTTATTGACGAGAAACAGACATCAAGAATCCTAACAAATGAATACCAATAGATTATAGTTTGTAAGATCATAAAAGGTTTATAATATACAGAAGAACATGCCAGGTACATGATTCCTTTGTTAGAAAATCAATGATCTTGACTTTTTCTAGGAGGTCAAAACTTAAACCATGCTTCAAACATCAATCTTATCAACAATATCTTTTTCTATCGCTTCATCACATAACTCAAAGGGTTAAATCCAATTTCCCTTCATGATAATTCATATTTTTAATTTTTATGAAATCAACAAACTCGTCTGCTAAATAAACCGACCTGGATAACATTTGCAGGTCTAAAACTGACGACATGTCGTCTTCTAGGGTTGAAGAACACCTAGATGACATAGACAACACACCATAATCTGCAGAGAGTAAGCCAAACATGTCGACTACAACAATTCACATGTCGGGTTCCTTAGTCCATTGCTCCAGCTTATCCCCAACTTCGCCTATGGCTTCCATTCGTTTGCCTGAAAACGTCTTTAAAACACTAAAAAAAGCTAGGGGTGAAATGAGACAACGAAACGGAAAATCAAGGATTCACACTTAGAAGCATACGAACATTTTCCGAAGGTTTTTCAAGAAGATGAGAATTTGATGAATTATGGTTCAAAATAGAACAATTGGCGTCTTCCAGATACAGAGAACACATGTGGTTTGAAGAGAGCAACAAAACATATTAGCTAAACAGGAAGCCACGACTTGAAACCATGCGGTAATGGAGCCGGCTCCAAACCGAACACTGTTCATAAACCCCTATGTGATTTAATATGTATATTAATTTTAAAATTTTAATGACATATGTATCCAAAGAAAATTTAAATGATTATATAAATACACTAAGGGACCAATTTCAAACATTAATCATATTTTGAATGCATATAGGGTTTTGAATTGCTTTATTTAAACAATTATTTTAATATTACAATGATGTGTTTATTATTTTTATTCTTGTCAAATTTATTCACATTAACTTTTTTTTAAAGAACTAATGGAAATTTGACAAAATTAGTAAATTGATCTTTACAGATTTAAATTTATATCAAAAGATAATTTGGTTTCAACTTGTTATCAAGTATGTTTGACAATATTAATTAGAAGCTAGAAGCTAATAGGTGAAAATTGAAAGTTATAGCTTTATTAATACAAAAATATTTTGTAAAAACTATTGGTAGCTTTTAAATATATATCTTAAAACTTTATATTTAAATCAAAAGTTAAAAGCTTGGAAGGAAACTTTTTCTTTTTTTAAAGTTTATTTTCTTAAAAGCATTACCAAATAACTGTTCATTTAGGCACCTCTAATTTTAGCATAAAATATTAAAGTCCTAAGATTATTGTATATCAAACTATTATGATCACGTTCGTAACAATGCAAACATATTTTAACTTGGACCTTGAATTTGTTTATTACAACAAATTTACATGAATAATGTGAAAGATTTCCAATAACTAAGTGAAAGTTTATTTAGAAATGAAATGTTCTCATTGGTTCACATTCACATGAATATTATGTCATGTTATCATATGGAAAAGAGCACAACATAACGTACACTTGACAACTCATATTTGTTTGCCTAATTACGTCATCACTCTTCCCCCTCACGTTATTTTGTATGTGTTGCAAATATAATTATGTTATAGCATAGCATTTTTTAAATGCAAACTTGGTTTCTTTTTTGAATTCTTTTGAAACACAGATAAATAGATTTTGTGGAAACTGCTAGATATAGCTACAATATAATTAGCTCTTGATGGTAAATATATGATTGCTTAATTATGTGTAACCAAGTGATATCTATGTTAGCAACGGTGTCCGTCTACCCAAGTGGTTGAGGGTTCAATTTGTAACGATTTGGAATAGTAATTCGATGTAAAAGTAGATTGGAAAATATATTTATATCGACCTTCTATAAAAACATCTATATAATCTATATTTATCTGGTTTTGATTTAAATACGCAATCCAAATACGTGGTGCTTAATAGTGTCTTGTCTCTTTTTTAGTATTACATGAATACATGTTTTCCATACAAAGTAGTATTTTATTAGAAAAACAAAATGTTCAATTAAAAATAAAAAAAATAATAAAAATTCTTAGAACAATGTGTCAAAGAAAACACCGGTTAAAGTTTTCATTTGAAAACAATCACATGAAAATGCAAGGATACGGTAAAACAGCTAAGAAAGGAATAAAACAAACAAAAAGAAAATATTATGCACATTACACATACGCACAAAAAATACCTCAAGAAATGCGAATAATGTGACGATATACTCGCATAAATTCTGGTCTTCACACTTGCTCCCAATCAATCTCACCATTCTCTCCAAAATCTTTTCATCTGATTTCTCTCTCGCAAACATAAACAAGTGAAATAAGAAACAATGGAGCTTTTCAATGAGAGATTAACGGCAATAAGAACGATGTTGTGTATGCTACTAATGATCCAATTAAGTCTTATGGCTCTAATGGTTAAAGGAGAGGTTTACAAGGTTGGTGATTCTACTGGTTGGGTGGCTAATACTAACTCCAATTACTCAAATTGGGCATCTTCTAAGATCTTTCGTGTTCATGACATTCTTAGTAAGTATTGCTTTGAGTCTATCGTTGTTTAACTATCACTTGTTAATTTCTTCATCTTTGTTTATTTTATTTGCTATATAACTGTGAAATTTTGTTGAAACTGTCGTTATTAACTTTTTTTGTGATGAAACAGTGTTTGAGTATAACGCAACCAACGACAATGTAATACGGGTGACCCATTCAGACTTCCGTTCGTGCAACACATCTGCTCCAATCAAAACGTTCAACTCAGGCAACGACTCATTCACAATCAAAGCACACGGCCATTACTACTTCACTTCTGGATTTCCTGGTCACTGTGTGACCGGTCAAAAGCTTGATGTTAGGGTTCTAAAATCATCTCATGTTGCCGCCACCCCACCACCAAAGCCAACCACAAGTCTAAGTCCTAGCCCAAACCCCTCTAACTCAACAATGTCACCCATGGAGTCAAAGGCAATGGCGCCTAGCCCGGTGGACAATGCCGTCGCATCACACGAGCCCAAGTGGTTGCTTATGAGCACTATTGGTGTGGCCATAAGTGGTTTTGTGGTTTTGGTTTGTAGTTAAGTTTAGTAATAAAATGCTATCTTGTAATAATTAAATGTAACCTTAACTAATCGGTTAGTATTTCATCCCTTTGGTTTTCTTAGTCCTAGTTATGTTTGATTATTTTTATCATTAAAGTACAGAGTCGCATAAATTATGTTTCATGGTAATGCTTAAGCATTTTGAAAATCCACAAGGTGAACATAGAAAACAAGCGACATTTTGGTACGTATGTAGTGGTGATGAGGAGTTCATACCTAGAAAATCCATCAATCTCTATTTGCATTTCATGAAGATGAAGCTCAAAGATGAACAAAAAATAAGAACATATATAAAAAACGATTTTATTTCATATAGGATGGACGATTTTGTTCCAACAAATTTTGGCTTTTTGTTGCAAACAATGAACAACAATAATAATAACGACATGGTTTAAGTAAGTCTCAAACATGATGTGGCATTTTTGACACATACAATGAAAATTGTGTGACAAGCCAATTAAGGATTGTATTTCCCGTAATCCATATCATTCCATTAACACAATATATATATATATATATATATATATATATATATATATATATATATATATATATATATATATATATATACCTATATGTGAAACCCCTTCTGAAAGATTAGACAGTTTATGTCGACGAGCAGCTTCCCACCGACCTCAAGCCTGCGTCGTTTGGTGGTAAGCTAGGCGCTTGCCTCCTTAATCACTCATCTTTCATCCGAAGTTATGCTACCTGATAGCCTGCTTAAAATCCCGTCAGCCCTATATCATCATATCGTCACACTTGGGTTCCGAAAACGGCGTCGTTCCGTGCTGCTTGCCTACTTGCTTCCGGTCATCCTGACCTCACGCTTCCACAGAAGAGTTCATGTTGGGTTTTCCTTCTTGGCGGAAGCGTTTTCCGCAAAGCTGCTTGCCACCTATTGATCCCCATTTCTCGCCACCTCTCCTTCATTGTGGCTGAGTCACCTTTTCCGATTTTCTCTTAATGGCACGCGGCTTACACATGGGTGAGACAGGAGTCTTCCCACCTGCCTACCTTTATAACATTCAGGCTTGTTGTGTTTTGGTTCGATCACCGGTGCAGCATTAACCACTTTTTTTTTATGTATATAGGTTTGTAATCGATTATGTGGAACTGGCGATCACGCTTTCAATTTTGAACGTAAATAACGAAGCCCACCTTCTGTTTTGATTTTCCAATTTGTTCATGATGTTCTATCGCTTCACGAAAGTAGAGATTGGAGATTCTTCAATTTATGTATGCTCTTTTCTCCAAATTCGTTGATATATGTCCATCATTTAGGATGGGGCTATCTATATTCAATTGCACTGAAAATAATTTCAACGGTTCTTCATGTCTATCATCAGGGTCAGCTGACGTCTCCACCGTCCCCTTTTGCTCCACCATGGCTATCATCAGGGTTAGTCCCCTTTGTCACCTCAAACCTTATTGACGAGGACAATTTCATCGATCTCCATCAAGATCTCCCCCAGGTGCTCTCGGATTTCAATTTCAATTTCATTTGCTTTTGATTTATTTTGTTTTCTGTTCTCTTGGTCTTCCATCTTTTCTTTTGGTCATCTCCTCTTTCAAATTCCTACTGTTCTCCATGAAATTGATTTACTCTGTTACCAATGCAGTCACTTTTGTTTCCTATAGAAACTCATATCAAAACTTGCAGAAATCCTAATATAATATCTCATATTCGAAACGGGTAACTAGATAGTTAGACTTACCAGGTATCTTGTGTTTCCTATTAAGACCAGATACTTCCACATATGATGTGATTCTAAAAAACATTTATGCAAAAAATTATTGGAGGAGGAACTTAGCGTTATGGATCAGATGACCAATTAAGCTTCTTATTATACTTAAATTACTATGGAGATTGTGATTGATTAGCTTTTTGCACTTGGTAAAGTTAACAAGTTGAAGTAGTTTGTACAAGGATGTCAATTGTGGTTTGTTGCTTCACCTACATAGAAGTAGAGGTATATACCATGGCCTTGTTCGGTCTTATTTAAACAAAATCATTGCTAAATTGATCAAGATCGTGATGATTTATCAAAATTACATGTTTTTGAGTTATATTTATCTTCTTTGGATGCACATAATTAATTGATTATGGTTCTGCATTAGCATTTTATAAGGTTGTGACACTTTAGTTTACTAGAACTTATTGTTAGTTAACTTGAACTCCTTACTCGAAGTTAATTTCGGTATCTTATATTCAATCCTTGATCTTTAGATAACCGTACTTACCTTAAATAGAAATCAAGTGAAAATATTATTTCTTTCCTTGGTTGTGTTTCTATGTTCTTTTTAAAATGCAATCTTTTACTAGATATTGTCAAGGAAAAAATACCCATTATAGCAACAGATAGCCTGATGATTTGGCTTGTGATGAGATTGTACAATTAAGCATGTTCACAAGATACAATTAAAAGTCAAAAGGCATCAGTAGAAAACTAATATCTACAAGGGGTATTCACTATTTACTATGTTTAGCAACAAAGAAATTACAAAATTTTTAACAAGAGATACATAATTTAAGAGGAATTAAAAAAATTATGGAAGAAATTTGAATTCAACTGATACGTTTACAAGAATGATGATTACTTTGCAACTAAAAGTTATGTATTGTTGTTTGCAGAATTTATAGGATCATTAATTGACTTCAATAGCTCCAATGGTAGTACTGCAGGATTAAGCTTCAAGCAACCCTTTGGAACATTAGAACCTCCTGCTTACCCTTGCTCCTTTATGTATACAACTCTTTTTCTTACCCTTTCCATTTGTTTCAGCATAGAGCTGGAGACAGATTCATAAGATTGGATTGCAAGTGTTCAGTAGATGGATGCCTTACAGTCGAATACAAATCACTTATTGCAAGCACTGAATAATACAACCAGCTTTGGGTTGTTTGCCACAGGTCGTTAAGTAAAAAGACTATAATTACAAATTACACATACTTAATTGAGTATTTTTTTTACATATTTTTGGCATGGATAATGACATAGTATGGTGTGTCAGCTTGCTGAGATGGAGAGGAATCAGAGGATTCATCTGCACACACTACAACAACTTGAAATTCAGGTGTCTAAGAAAACGGAAAAAAATGTCACTATCTCAAATGGTCCCCACACTACTCAGGTAAAGGAGGAAACAATCCTATTGCCGATTCTAGGGGTGTCCAAAATGGGGATGCGCAAATTGTCTCTTCACAGGTACATCTCGGTAATCTTTTGTATTTATATGTATACAAAGAGCCGTTTACATAAAATAATCTATTTCATTTTAAAGTGAAAATCTACCTACTGTTCAAGTTGTTCTCAGTCAATACACATGATGACAGTTTTCTTTTCACATGGATAGCTTGCAGCATCAAGGGTTACCCCAAAATATGATCTCACATCTTGTTCACTTTCACTCTCATGTTGGCCATTTTCCTTCTTTTCCCACTTGCCATAATCAACGGGTACGATGCATTATTTTGTGTGGCTTGGGGTGAGTGCGGATGTGGGTGTTTGTTTGGATGTGAGGGTGAGGTATGGGGAGTAAGCGTGGATGCAGAGATTGGGGTATGGTCGTATGGGCAAGGATGGGCTTCGACTGGAGGTGAGGATATCGGGTTTTATGTCAATTTTGGCAACAAAAAAAGGCTTTTTGGTTTCTCATCCAGCTATGTGGTGAGTTACTGCAACTTATTTATGGTATTGTCAATATTTCAGCTTATTATTTCTGAGTATTATTTTCATCGCTTTCAATATTCTTGACAAAATGTAACGACCCAATTTTCAAGCCCGAAAAATTTCATTTTTAATTAAACACTTTGCAAAACATTTGAAAATAAACAACATTTGATCATATCATTTCTTAAAACATGTTACGTGTCTGAAATTCCAACATACAAAACAACCATAATGTCAGAGTACAAAATTCCAGAATAGCTCATGATGCGGAAAACGATGTGTGTGTATGATGTGCCGCTACCGCGCCAGCTCCTTCCCCTTCGATGAAGAGGTACCTGAAAACAAACTTGTAAACTGTAAGCACAAAGCTTAGTGAGTTCCCCCATAATGCCACATACCATACAATCATATAATGAACAGCTAGGGGATACGGGCCTCGCCCACACCCATGGAGATACGGGCCTCGCCCACACTCCGTTAGCTGGGAGATACAGGCCTCGCCCACACTCCACTGTCTGGGAGGTACGGGCCTCGACCACACTCCACTGTCTGGGAGGTACGGGCCTCGACCACACTCCACTGTCTGGGAGATACGGGCCTCGCCCACACTCCACTGTCTGGGAGATACGGGCCTCGCCCACACTCCACTGTCTGGGAGATACGGGCCTCGCCCACACTCAGCCAATAACCATAGCATACAAGTATCACACAGACAACGAGTATAAACAACTCTATCGTACAAGCATATATCATAACCAAACTCAACTATGAGATACGGGCTCTGCCCACACTCCAATACTAACGTATCATCTATACGGGCCGGCCTTGGTGCCGTAGACCCGTTCCTACTGGAAGGAAACTCACCTTGAGAAGTAGCTACTGAAAGTCTGCTTGCTAGACGTCTGACTGCTGCCCCGGTAATCCTCCGGCTATAAATCCATAAACATAGATTAGCCACTCATAAATACCCTTAGGTCAAAGACTGGCCTACCCCTGGCCCAAGGTTAACTCCTTGGTCAAAGTCAACTTCTAGTTGACTGGACTCGCCGAGTCCTGGCACAGACTCGCCGAGTCCCTTTCCCACCATTCCAGTACTACTCATCGGGTCCCTTTTCCCACTCACTGAGTCACCCTAACTCGCTACTTGGGACGGTTAGACTGACTCGCGATCCGACTCGCCGAGTCCGCGAACGACTCGCTGAGTCCCTACGAGCAGACCCCCCTGCTCGCCTCTAAATCCTTATCTGAGCATCTATCTTGAGGATTTGGGTTTCCGGGACTATTACTACACGTTAAATTGCTAATT